AAAAAAAAGCCAACATTGTGTGTGAAGGGTACAGTGCTTTTTATCTGTTTCCATTGCAAGACTCCTGGAGCACCACAAGCACATCCAGGAAAAGCTGATGAAGAAATAGTGCAAGACCAAGGCAGTGCTTAGAGTGATTCTGTGCTTAGTGAGGTAATCGTGTTTATGTTTGGTTTTGAGAGAACTGTTGTGGTAATGCTTATTTTTAAAGCATAGAAGAGTGCTAGATAAAGGAAAGCACTTAACAGAAATGATCTTTTAGAGGAACTGAAAAGCTTATTGTAAACCTATTTGACTTAGGTGGATGTTGGAAAAGTAGTGATATGGGATTCTTTAAGGCAAAAAACAACCTTGGCATTATTGCACCTGCCTGTAATCTCAGCTGTTCTGGAGGCTGAGGTGGGAGGATTGCAAGCTCAAGGACAGCCTGCACAACTTGAGACCCTGTCTCATAAAAAGGCTCTGTAGCTCAGTGGTAGAGCACTTGCCTACCATGCATGTACCCTGAGTTTAATCCCTAGTACTATAAAACAAGACAGCCATCAGAAATAACCATTTGGCAGAAACAAAATTTTTATTAGCTATTATGGTCTTAAAGACTTGACTGTTGTCTCTGAGAAATTTGGAATTTCTTACAGATGGCTCTAGTAATCTTTAAAAGTATGTGGATATAGCTGGGAACAACAGCATATACCTCTAATCCCAGCACTTGGGAGGCTGAGGCAGCAGGATCACTGAGTTTGAGGCCAACCTGAATTGCATAGAGAGCAAGACCCTGTTTCAAAACAAAAGTGTATAGATGTAGGGGCCAGGGAGATGGCTCAGTGGAATAAGCGCTTCCCTGGAAAGTGCAAGGGCCTGAGTTCAATTGCTGGTTCCACCAAAAAAAAAAAAAGTATATAGATGTAGGTTATGAACTTGCCCAAATAACACAGAATTGTGTATATTGGGGCTGGAGAGATGGCTTAGTGGAATAAACGCTTCCCTGTCAAGCACGAGGGCCTGAGTTCAATCCCCGGTTCAGGGGGAAAAAAATCATGTATATTTTATAACAAGTCATTTTGTTTGTTTTTGAGATTGAGTTTCACTGTGAAATCCAGTATGTAGCCCATTCTGATCTGGAACTTGGAGTGATCCTTCTGCCTCAGTCTCCTAAGTGCTGGAATTACAGGCTTGCCCTACCACACCTGGTACAAAAAACATCTTTGGGCCTCTTGTTTTTGTTTGTTTGGTAGACCGGGTGTTCTGTAGTTCAGGCTGATCTTGAACTCACTGTACAGCCCAGTCTAGCCTCAAACTCACAGATATCCTCCTGTCTTTGCCTTTCAAGTGCTTGGGATTACTTGTGTGTGCTACCATGCCCAGTTTGAGCCTTTTTAAAAAAATTATTTATTTGCTACAGAGTCTCACTATGTAGCTCCAACTCCTAGTGATCCTCCTGTCTCAGCCTCTCCAGCACTGGGATTATTGGCATGTGCTACCATGCCTGGTTTCGGTGGCTGGCATGGCATATGATACTGGGGATTGAATCTGGGTTCTTGCATTTACCAGGCAGGTGCTTAGACTGCTGAGCTATCTCCCCAGCCCAACTTGAGGCCTTGATTTGGTGTTTTGCTCTAATATATCTCGTTTATAATTTTAAGACGCAAGAAGTCTGTGCATGTCAGTATATGTGTGTGTGTGTGT